GTCCCTGGGTCAGAAGTGGTTTGATTCTTTAATGGCGAGAATCTGACACCCTGAAGGGGCTGCCTCTTTTCCTTCTAATGGGCTCCGGTGCCTGTTCCCTAGTCTGTGATCCCAGACATCCTAACGGCCCTGTGCTCAGTTTCCCCACAAGCCCAGCTTTGCAGACCCATTTGGCATCAGTCTGAGCCTCTCCAGATGCTCACCCGCACTCTGGCTTAATATAGCCATGCCCTCCGTGTGGACTGGGACAATGTGTCCAGCTCGCTTAATAGGCTATTAACACATCTCTGGAAAGAGGCTGGTGGCTCCCTCCGACCAGACGGTTCGGCATTAAGCGCCGATGCCCATCTGGTGCTACAAAATGCTGTTGTGAATTTGGATTCCCCACATTTGCCCAAAACCTTCTCCGAAATCACGAGTTCAGATGATCTCGCGAGCACCTAATTCGTCTAACAGTATGATGCGTCTTCGCATGGGGCTATGCATCTGGTTCGATCGCAGAATTTCATTTTCTCTGATTGACACACAATCTCATTACCATCTGGGCCCAGAGACCCCAGGGACTTGCAGAAGATCTCATAGCCTTTAGATTTAACAACGTCCACCTGTTGCTATAACCTGAAGGTATAGAACAGTTCAACAAGCATTTGGGGCTACTATTCTAGGCGGATTGGACCAGGTGTCCAAAATTCTACACTCCTCTTGGCTTTCCACATGCTGGCCCCCCCCCCCATGTTTTCCTGCTTTCCTCTTGATTCTGTAGAGTCTGGTTTCTCAGACTCGCTGCTGAGGACAGTTTAGGCTGGATAATTATTTGTTGGGGGGGTGGGGGGGGCTGCCCTGTGCATTGTAGGGAGTTTAGCAGCACCCCTGGACTCTACCCACAGATAGCAATAGTGCCCCCCACCGTGTGACAGCCCAAAATATCTCCAGACATTGCCAAATGTTCCTGGGGCCGGGGGAAGGGAGGCAAAGTCTCCTCTAGGGGATACCCACTGCTGTAGAGTAATAACCCACGTCTGAAAGAACGTGTCACAAATTAGATTCTACCTGGTTTTCTTCCAAGATGTCCTGAGGTGGGAGTCCAGACATTTGTGATCTTGTTCTGGTGGTACTGTTTTCTCACAGTGTCATTTTGGGACATGTTACTGAATCTTACTGTAACATGGGAACATGGACTACATCAGGGGTTTCCAAACCTGGGCAAATGTCAGAATTACCTGAGCTTTGTAAAAATAAACTCAAACACTGGTTCTATTCTTCGGGGATTTAACTGGCTTTTGAAATTCCGTGTGCTTTTTTAAGTTCTGTCGATGATTTAGATTCACACCCAGGGGTGGGATCCATTGAACCAGGGACAGCCGGAGGTTCCTCCTGAGACAGCGTTCTAAGCAATGCCGTGCTGAGCTGGGCCCGCTTCCCCGTGTGTCCACTAGGTGACGTCGGCTGCACTTTCCTTCCTTTCTCCTGTTGATTCTCTCCACTTTTCATGCTCACGAGGGACTCCACTTTGCATCCCAGGTGTTAGATACTCAAATGCATACACTCTCCCTACAGCACAGCGGACAGCCCCGTGAAGAGGTCCCTAGTCTGGAGTCGATGGATGACGGTCCATGGATCGGCTTTAGAAGATCTATGAGCCTTCTATAACTGCATGCAAATTTGACATGAGTATGCACTTTTTAATATATGTTTATTGATTTCAGAGAGAAATGGAGAGGGAGAGATAGAAACATCAATGATGAGAGAGAATCATTAATTGGCTGCCTCCTGCACACCCCCCTCCCTCACTGGGGTTCGAGCCTGCAATCCAGGCATGTGCCCTGACCGGGAATCAAACTGTGACCTCCTGGTTCGTAAGTTGACACAACCACTGAGCCACGCCGGCCGGGCATGAATGTGCGTTTTATATGATGAAAGGGTGGGTCCATGGCTTTCATCGAATCTCAAAAGCATCCATGACCCAAAAAAAGGGTTAGGAACCTGATCTAATGGGACAGACAAGTAATCAGGGAAACAAAGAGTTGCGACAGAGCGACAAATACTGTATCAGAAGCGTGCAGGAAATGCCGGGGGCATTTGAGTTCTGGCTGAGATCAGCTGCAACTCCTGGCCTTCCACTGACTCTCTTTCTTGTCTTTTCTTGAAAAAAAAAAATAGGTTTTTGTTTGTGTTGTGTTTTTTTTTTCACGTTTAGTTAAACATGAAGTGGCTTCTTGATTCATTCAGCTCAGGGCAACAAACCTCTAGTGCAGCGGTTCTCAACCTGTGGGTCACGAACCCTTTGGGGGTCGAACGACCCTTTCACGGGGGTCGCCTAAATATATCCTGCATATCAGATATTTACATTACAATTCATAACAGTAGCAAAATTACAGTTATGAAGTAGCAACGAAAATAATTTTATGGTTGGGGGTCACCACAACATGAGGAACTGCATTAAAGGGTCGCGGCATTAGGAAGGTTGAGAACCACTGCTAGTGAAGCCCTGCTATTTGCTGGCGGGGGGGAGGGGGAAAGATTCCTGTAAAGGACGTAAACATGAGTGAGAGATGGTCCCTCACCTGCCATATTCTGCCTTGTAAGGTGTTACAATAATATTAAACAGTCAAATTTCCACAAGAGCCATACAAAGTTCTGTGGGAGCACAGAGGTAGGAGATGACCATTCTGGCCCGGGAGCCAGAAGAAGGTGTCACAGGGGACACGAGCCTGGCTGACCCCAAAGAGGGGTGGAAGGAGATCATCCCATCAAAGGGAACAGACTGAGAACAGGTGTGGTGGAGGCTTGCGTATGTTCGAGGCACTGGGGAAAGCCCCCTATGCCTGAATGGGGCAGAAGAGGCAAGGAGGCATCAAAACTAAGACTGGAAGGTGGGCTAGGTCAGGACTAGATGGTGAAGGAGTTTGAATGCTCAGCTCAGGAGTTTGAAGTTATGTTTATGGACAAAGACAAAACATTGGACAGTTATGGACAAGTAATGATGTGATTTGATCTATTCTTCAGGAAGACTATTCTGCAAGGATAGAAAATGGATCAGAGCAGGAAAGATCCTAAATGGAGAGTTCAATGAGGAAGCTACTGCACCCAAAGAGGTCCTTAGGAAGAAGGCGCGGGAAGGAGGGCAAACTTATATACTGGTTGGAGGGGCAATGAGGTTTGTGAGAAGGGAGACACTGAAGATATGCCCTGAGTCAACTAGGGCAGTGGTCGGCAAACTGCAGCTCAGCAAGCACATTCGGCTCTTTGGCCCCTTGAGTGTGGCTCTTCCACAAAATACCGACTTCTGCACATAGGCCACGAAGTTTCAATCGCACTGTACGTGCGCGCCCACACGTGGTATTTTGTGGAAGAGCCACACTCAAGGGGCCAAAGAGCCGCATGTAGCTCGTGAGCCACAGTTTGCCAACCACAGAACTAGGGAATAAGGTGCCATTCAGAGAAACACCAACAGACTGATAACCAAAGGAGGTGAGGGTCAGGAGCGGCAAAACCTTGCAGGAGAAGTAGGATTGAAGAGGCTTTAAGGATTTAGACTGAGGGGTGTGGGATCTAAGCTGCCTGCACATCTCATTCCTTGGTTAGACATCGGCTTGTAAATCTCACCCACAGAGGCATCTGTGACCCTCTGAACAGCTGAGTATTTTTGCTCCCCAGGTCGGGACTATAGGACACACACAGGCCTGCTGGATTGTATCTGAGGGTCCCTCTTCCCCATCAGTATTCTGATGTCCCGCCCCTGCCCAGAGCAGTAGCTCTTCCTGCCCTACAAGCCAGGCAAGAGCTCCAAGGCTTGATGAAAGACT